AAAAAAAAAAAAAAGAGTGCACATCTGTAATCCTCATACTCTGGGAAGCTAAGGCTGAGGGACTGCAAATTTGAGCCTAGCCTGGGCAATTTAATGACTTAGAGAGAATCTGTTTCAAAATATGAAATAAAAGATGTAGCTCCAGGCAAAGGCCCTGGGATGAGTTCTCAGTACCAACCAATCGACAAATAAATAAGGGCTAGGAATGCAACTCACTGGTAGAGCACTTGCCTGGCACATTGCAAAACTAAATGAAATGATTACATTAAATTAAAAAAGGGTTGGGAGGGCCAGGGATTCAGCTCAGTGGTTCTGTCACTTGCCTCGCAAGTGCAAGGACTGGAGTTCCATCCCTGGTACCAAAAAATAAAAAAAGGCCTGGTATGTAGCTCAGCAGTAGAATGCTTGCCTAGCATGCATGAGGCTCTGGGTTCCAACCACTCTCTCCCCAAAAGTGATTCTCCTAGTCTTCTCCCAGTTGGGGAACCTCGGTCCTGAATTCGGTGACAATGGTCCTCATGCATAGTTTCACACTTCACTACACTGGGAAGTAGTACTAAACAATGTAATGTTCTCATGCATATTTCAAATTTCCTGTATAAATTGCACTGTTCTGCAAGTCCTACGACCGTTAATTCTTCTTTCTTGTTTGTTGGTTGGTTTGTTGTTTTGGGGACAGGGTCTCACTCTAAAGTCCAGGCTGGCCTGGAACTCATGGTGATCTTCCTGCCTCAGGACCCCCAGTACTAGGATTACAGGTGTGTGCCACCATGCCTGGTCTGATGCCTGAATTTGCGTTTTGTATGGTGTGAGGTAAGAATCAGACTTTTTCTTTATTTTTTATTGTTGAGTAATTATTCCAGCACCACTTGCCACCATTTACAGTTTAAACTTTCCCCACTGACTTGAGATGCCAGTGGTCTCATGTCATTCCTGCAGACATGCGGTCTAATTCTGGACTTGCCTCCGTTCCATTTCTGAATGTGTATACTCTTGTGTCAATAATACAGCAGAGTTCTAATCAGTGCGGTGTTCTAGAGAATCTCACTAACTTATAGGCATATCCTCCTCATGCTTTATTCTTCAAAATTGTTGTGTCATTGTTCTGTCATTTGATTTTTTAAAAATGGACATGGAAATGCCTGGTGTGGTTGTACAAAACTGTAATCCCAGCACTCAGAAGGCTGAGGCAGAAAGATTTCCAAGACTTTGAGGTCAGCCTGGGCTACATAGGAGTTCAAGGCCAGCCTCACAGAATCTTTTTTTTTTTTGGTACCAGGGATCGAACTTGGGTCTTTGCACTTGCAAGGCAGGCATGGAACCACTGAGCTAAATCGCCGGCAAGGCCAGCCTGAACTACATAGTCAGACTATCTCCAAATAAGTAAAGAAAGAAAATGGAATAGATGCATCATGTTCATGTGAAATTTACCATGAACTTGTCAAATTCGACCAAAAAAAACTTGTTGAAATTTTGATTGGAATTATATTAAGTTTATGCATTAATTTAGATAGAATAAATATTTCCTTCCAATCCCAAAATTGAACTATTTATTAAGAATAAGATTTATTAAGATTATTATTTTTTAATTTTTTTTGATACCAGGGATCGAACTCAGGACCTTGTGCTTATGAGGCAGGTGCAGGGCCACTGAGCTAAATCCCCAGCCCTTAAGATTAATTATAAGAGTAAGATTTATTAAGATTTTTTTTTCAGGAGTGGGGATTGAACCCAAACAAATTACATCCTCACCTGGTTTTTAAATTTTTTTAAATTTTGAGACAGGGTCTCATTAAGTTGCCCAGGCTAAGCTTGAACTTGAGATCCTCCTGCCTCAGCCTTAGATTTTCTTTAATGTGTCTTAATATAATTGTGAATTTTTTTTCATGTGAGCCTTGTTCATTTATCTGCAACTACTTAATAGTTTTATCACTATTTTTTATGAGATTTTAAAAAGTAATATATTGTGATGAAAAGAAATACTTTGCGTCACCACGCCCGGCCAACATTTTTATAGATTGATGTTGAATCCAGAAGCCTTAGTACAAGGGTTGTGGCACTGTCATATTAATAGACCTTCTCACATCACTGTTTCCTTGCCTTCAGGGAGAGCCCTCCCAGACCAAGGTAAAGTCAGTTTTCTAGTAATCTGTTAATGATTTTGAAGATTTTGTACAAAATCTGTAAATAGAGAAGCTGAGGGCATGCACTGGCTGCATCTGCCTCTACTGCTGCCTCCAGCAAGGGAGTGTGGATCACTGCCCTGCACCTCAAACCCCTTTCAACTTCTGTTTATAGACTCAGCTTCCTGGAGCACTCAAACAACTGTAACTACCCTCCAGCTCTCCAGGGTGCTTATCACAGTACTCTGCAAAGGGCTGGCGCTTGGGCCTCAGCATCCACTGGTGAATCTGAGCTGCTGCTCATTAACCCAGTGGGGTTTCCATTTTTTTTTTTGGTACCAGGGATCAAACTTGGGTCCTTGCGCTTGCGCAGCAGGCGGCGAAACCACTGAGCTAAATCCCCCGCCCAACTATTTGCTCTTTTTAAAAACTGTTTCTAAAATTAAAAAAAAATTTTTTTATATTTATTATTATTTTCTTTTTTGGTACCGGGAATTGAACATAGAACTTGTGCTTGCAAGGAAGGCGCGGTAACACTGAGCTAAATCCCTCGTCCTAATTTTCATTTCATTTATTTTTGAGACAGAGTCTCTCTCACTTTGTAGTTCAGCTGGCTCTGAACTATGTAACCCAAGTGGGCTCTAACTGTGCCGATTCTCCTGCCTCAGCCTCCTGAGTGCTGGGATTACAGGCATGTGCCACCATGCCCAGCCTATTACCTGCTTTTTATTATTTATTTATTTATTTTTTTGGTACCGAGGATTGTCAAACTTGGGACCTTGTGCAGGCACCAGAACCACTAAGCTAAATCCCTGGCCTTACCTGCTTTTTAAAAATGTATTAACTAATACATAAAAATATAAAAGATAGCTGGGGATGGTTGTAGACAACTGTCATCTCAGTATTCTGGGAGGCTGAGGCAGGAGGATTGCAAGTTTGAGCCCAATCTAGGGAATTTGATGATTTGGTGAGGAGTGCAAAGGTCCTGGGTTAAACCCAGACTGCCATAAAAAAAAAAAAAATAAAATTGTATACGTTGATGGAGTACCATATTATGTTTGGATACATGTATACATTGTGTAATGTTTCAATCAGGTTAAAGATATTTATATCTTCAAACATTTATCATTTCTTTTTGGTATCGGGGATCAAACTCGGGTCCTTACGTTTGCAGGGCAGGCGGCAGAACCACTGAGCTAAAGCCCTGGCCCCAACTTATCACTTTTTAATGGTGAACTTTCAAAATCTTTTCCTCTAGCTTTTTGAAATGTACAGTATATTGTTATCAATAGCCACCCCAGTAGCATCCCAGAATTTATTCCTCTCAATACCCCTTGATCAACACTTTCCTATCCTTGCTTTTTTTGGGGCAGTGCTGGGGATGGAACCTAGGGCCTGACAGTTGCCAGGTAAGCACTCTACCACTAAACTACACCTCCAGCCCAATTTTTCTTTCTTTTTTTTTTTGAGACAGGGTCTCCCTTTGTAGTTCAGACTGGCCCTGAACTCACTATACTGCCCAGCCTGGCCACGAACTCCTATTGATCCTCCTGCTTCTGCCTCTCAAGTGCTGAGATCACAGGCGTCCACCACCACGCCCAGCCCCAATTTTTTAAAAAAAATAAAGTTCATTCCTGGTTTTAGGAAGTGATTGCTTTGGTATAAGCCATGTCAAATCCTTTTGTGGGTTGGTGGTGTATAAAATTCCTACTAAAATGAGAAATGGCCAATAAATGTTGAATGACTGAAGTCTGAGGATTTTAGTGGCGGTGGTTGATTTTCCAGAACCATTAGTGTAGAAAATTTAATTTCATTGTGGATATGCTTAAGTCAGGCCTGTTATGCCCAATAATATTGTATTGAATTCAGGGGGCACAAAGGAAATCTGATTTTACTTCCCATTTCTGCTAGTAAATCCCTAAACATTTCACAACCTTACAAAGTAGTGGTTCTTGGGATGCGTGTGACAGCTGCATATCTTTTTTTTTTTTTTTTTTTGACAGGTGCATATCTTATCACTGAATATGATGTTTCATGAAGTGCTGAATTAAGCTGCTCGTGAATGGTCCAGTCGTGGATTTTTCTCTGGAGATGTTAATGTGTTCTCTTGTGCTCCTGGACTCTGGATTCTGGCAACCCTTTCAAGGGCACCTCCGGAGTGGGGCGCTCTCGGTTCCTTCACCTGGGGAGACAAAGCGTTTTGTTCCTTTCCTCCCAGCCCGCACGCGCTCTCGGAGTTATGCTTTTCCATTACTCATTCCGCCTTTTCTCCCAAGGTGGCGTGTGGGAGGTGTTGTGCGAGGGATCGAGAAGAATAGGCCAGGAAGCTCTGCAGGCTCAGCTCAACCGCGTGCGCGGTTCCGTTCCGATCGGCCCGCTCCCGTGAGATGTTTTCCAAACCCACGATGACTCCACACGCGGCCGCTCCCTACGGAATCCCGGCTCTCCCGCCGGCGTCCGGTCCGTCCAGTCCCGCCCCGCCCCACTCAGCCAACCTTTTGTGCACTCGCAATGCGGATTATCGGGCTGCCCAGGGACGGTCGCTGCCCACTGACGCCCTCCGGGGGTCACCCGGGAAGGAACCTGGGCGCCGCCGTCACCCACCCCGCACCCCCGCAGCGGTGTTGGCTCCTAGACCACCAGGGGGCGCTCGGGTGTCTCCGCAGGCCCTCGCAGCCTCCCCGCCCCTCCCTGTCTCCCCTGGGATTGGCCGGCCCCCTCTAGGTCTGAGCTCTTATTGGCCATGTCCTGCGTCAGTCAGGGGCCCTGGGCGGGAGGAGGTGACGCGCGGCGCCCTGGCTTGGGGCGGTGCCTGTCGCCGGCGGCTGCGGGCGGAGTTTTTGGAGCCGCGGCGCTGGGCAGTCAGACGGCCACGGTCCCTGGAGGCGTCCGCGCGGACTCCAGCCGCTGTCAGCTCCCTGCCGCCGCCGCTCTTGATGCCTAGGCCGGTCGCTGCGTGATGGCGCAGCCGAGCGGCGCTGTGCGGCTGGCGGCGGCCGCGTCTCGCGCTGAGGTGCGTCGGTGCCCGGCCCTCTGCGCCCCCGCGCCCCGCGCCGCCTGCTGACCGCCGCCCGCCCGGTCTCCGCAGCGCGGCTGAGGTAAGCGGCGGGGCGGGCGGCGGTTAGCGTCGCGGCCGCCGGGGACAGCTCCGGGGGAGTCCGCGGCCGGGCCCGGGGGCCGGGCGGGGTAGGGGCGGAGGCGGCGGGGAGCCTCGCCCTCGGGTGGGGCGGGGCGGGGACCCCGGCCTGGGCGACCCGGGCCGGCGGCCTGTTGGGCCCCGAGTGCCTCCCGGCTGCTGTCCCTCCTGAGCCGCGGGCCAGGCCAGGCCGGGCCGTGCGGAGGAACCCTCCGTGCTGCCGGGCCCGGGGCGCCTTGAAGCTCGGGGGTCGGCTCCGCTCCGCTGGCAGCCCCCTCTCCTCGTCTCCAGTGATGGTTGGCATCGGGGTTCAGCTGGGAACGCCGTTCCGCCCCGGTGCCAGATGGAAGCAGGGAAGGGCATCCTCGGGGGCAGAGCTGGGCGCAGAGACCGGGCGAGAGGGCGCGGTGGCGAGGACCGGAGGGGTCGCTGGCCGCTGGCCAGCTGCGGGGAGCTGCGGTGGCCCGGCGCTGAGCCGCCCAGGATCGCCGGCAGCCATATTGGGAGGATGAGCTGACAAATCCTCTAGGAGCCAAGTCCGGCTGCTAGAAGGCACCGAGTGACAGCCCCTGGCAGCTCGCGGGGTGACTGGCCGCGCCAACAGCCAAGCGGTGGGGGTTGGGAGGCCGCCCGAGCGAGCCAGTCATTGTTCGTGCCACACAAAACATCCGCAGCCGCAGAACCAACCCAGAGTCCCAATCACTTTTTCTCTTCGGGTAGGGTTGCTAAAATGAGCTTCCAAAGTCAGCCGCCGTCGAGATTGCGTTCTTGTTGGGATGGAATTCTGTACTCATTGTTTCTGTCCCCGCCTCCTGTGTCCAGGGGAGTGGGAGGCCTGTTGATGCCTTCCTGGCGCATAGGCAGGGGTTGCTGCGAGGCCACTTCGGCAGTGTGCAGGCCTTCGGTTAGCGCTTCGCATTGCATCGCATCGGAGGGCCACATTTGCGGAGTAGCTCAGCAGGCAGAGGTTTAGTGAACTGGCAGGTTCGGTCGGTGGGGGAGGCTTGCAGCAGTATTTGAGAGGACTCAAGTTGTCATCTTCATGGAATCTTGGGGTAGGTGAAATTAGACTGCCAACAGATTCCCTGCTCACAAACCTTCTGCTGCTCCGGACGGTTGCTGTGCCCACACAGAACGTGCTGCTGTGGGTCATGGTGTGTCTGAGCCCGATGAGAGCGCGGGGATCAGGTTTGAGTAACCTAAAAAGTGATATCACGGTGGAGGTTTTATTTAAAGGCTGGCATTTTGTCCGTTTGGCTTAGTCATAATGAAATGTTAGCTCATGTTCTCTAAGAAGTGAGGTGGTGTTTTCTAATTTTGCTGGTTTGGTGGTTGGATTATAAAGTGAGGTTGTCAGTGTTCCGTTTGGGGACGGAATGTGAAGATTGCACATAGGTTGGCATGGTGAAGCAGAGCTGGAAATGCTCAACAACTGGTTTTAGTGTAAGCCTGTAAATCTTCCTGCATCCTAGATGTGGACGGGACCTGGAGAGATGGCATGCCTGCTGTCCTCTTTGTGTTCTTCCTTTTCTTTAATTCAAACTCACTCCCCCCACCCCCCCTTGTGGTGCTGGGGATGGAGCCCTGGGCCTTGGACACACTGAGCAAGTGTTCTGTCACTGAGCTACATTCCCAGCCTCCTAACTCGCATTTCCTAAGGCAGAAATTCTTACTTCTTAGGGTGAACTAGTTGAAAACTTTCCTGTATACTTTTCTTAACTGTATTCTGTAATTTTTATCATTACTCCTTTTAAAGCCTAGTTCAATCAAATAGGGCCTCAACAAGAACCAGTGTTTTTGGGTTTTTTTTGCATACGTTAAGATGAGAGAACTACAGAATATTTGTTGTATAATTCCATGCCCCAAATAAATATTTCTAAGTTTTTTTAATGTTTAGAGTTACTTTATTTGCATAAAGAACTGAGGAACTGATTGAATGTAATTTCATCACTTGGTGAAATCAGATTTGATCATTGTGAATCTGATGTGGGGGTTAGATTTTTATGAGCCTAAGCAGCTGTGCTCTGGTGAATGTTTTTCCAGAATTTATCCTATCATGTTCAGCTTCTGAGGCTTAGGATACTGTTTTCCTTTGGAAGATCAGATATGAACTCAGTTTTCCTTTTTTTTTCTCCAAATAGTTTTTTCCTTTTCAAGAACAGATATGAATGTGGTTTTCCTTTTTTTCTCCCTCCTCTTTCCTACTTGGAACTTGAGCAGGGAAAATTTATGCACAAGAAGAGTCTGCCAACAGCATTCCCAAGGCCAGAGCTTTCTAGCCCTCATCTTGTCCCTGGAACAGAGGACAACAGTAGGCCTTGGCTTGCTTGTAAACCTGTCCTGGGGCTACTTTCCTGGGAGTGAGCGTGGCCCTGCATTCAGTCTTGGAAATGGATAGGATACAATCCACAGGTTCTGAAGCCAAAGGTGTGTCATGCCTGCTTTGTGCAGGTCTTTGAAAGAGGGCCTCATTTGAACAGATAATTGTGAGCTCCTGGACTCCATAAAATAAAATAAATAAATATGATACTTCTAGAACTTTTCAAAATGCATGATGAGAGATAAACAGGTGTGATCGAGATAGGAAAGACCTGCAGAGGTATCTTGGACTTCTCTGTGAGTTGGGCTTTTTGGTCCACAGTCCAGTGATTTACTTTTATGCACTTTTATCATAGTTATTGCCAGTTGGCCGAGACTGCAAATGGATATTTAGCTCTTTACCCTCAAGGATCTTAAACTTTCTGGTCTGAGTATGCTGGGATAAGGCAAACTCCTTTCATTGGAGTGTGATTCCTGTACTGCTGCCTGTGCCATGGTAGTTTCTGTGATTTGCAGGTAGAACTTTTTTGTTCTTTATAATATAGTATTTTTTATTATTCTGATACTCAGTTGATACTTTTATGATTATCTTGCAGATATATATGTATATGTATATGTCCATTTCAAGTCCCATGACTATAAATGTCTGATGGATTTAAATTTTTATATATATATATATATTTTTTTTTTTTATTGGTACCGGGGATTGAACTCAGGTCCTTGCACTTGCACAGCAGGCAAATTTTTTATATTTAATATCACATTGTTTAAAAAAAATATATCACGTTGTTTACACCTAAGCATGTCATTCAACTGTATGTCCTCTACTGTTGCCCTCTTTGGCAACTTTGATTCTTTGCTTAGTTTTCCCTTTCATCCAATTTATTTCTTTATTTATTCAATGCTAGGCATCAGACCCTAGGCTTGTACAGGCTAGGCAAGTGCTTTACCACTGAGTATACCTCCAGCAGCTCCCATCTAAAATTTTGACATCATTTTGGCAGATGCCATTGTATAAATAAACAACAACTGCAACAACAGTAACGATATACATAATGGTTTAACTCATCTTGAGTACTTTATATGTGTCTGGTTCTTCTCTAAGCACTTTGTGTTTATTAACTAATTTAATCTGTGATCCACCATGTAAAGCAGATCCTGTTATTCTCCCCATTTTTCAGATGAAGAAACCAAGTCAGAAACTAAGGGACTTCCCTAAGATCGATAGAACTAGTTAGTAAGCACTGTGCTGAGCTTGCTGTGTAACGATTCTGCTCAAGCAAACCTTGGCTTGGTCCTGTGTGAGTAGCTCGGTGATCACTTTTAGATTGGATTCACCTTCTGATCTTAAACTCCAATAATTCACAGCTCTGGCTTTCTTATTTGCCTTGCCTGTGTTCTCTCCCTCAAGCCTCCTAGCCGTTTAGTCACTTTTGGATTTTACTTCGGTTCCTTCTTTTCTACAGTGTGACCTCTGGCACGTGTTGCTTCAGCTATTTTCCCTCCCTCCCTTTCCAGAGACGGTCTCAGTATGTAGTCCAGGCTGCCTCTGCCTCCTGAGGGCTAGGATTACAGGTGCATACCACCATGCCCAGTGATACTTCAGCTGTTTTCTTTTTTTTTTTTTTGGTACTGGGGGATTGAACTTGGGACCTTGCACTTGGCAGTCAGGGCGCAGCCCACTTCTGGTATTTTCTTACCAGCACTTGGAGTTTTTATTCTTCCTTGTTGGGCAGGACCCACTATTTAGATGACAGCTTACATCATTCCTGCTGTCCAAACCCTCTGTTCTAACCCTGTGTTGTGGAGAAACCACGCAGTGCTGGAGATTATTGGTGCCAGCCTCAGCTGGAGGCTTGGGTCTCCTTGAACGAGTCTTTGTGGTCTGTGAAGCACTTCCCTCCCTGAGGCTCCATAAAATCTTGACCACTTCACCATTTGCCTGTGCTGGGCAGAAAACCTTGCTTACTGCCTCAGGAAAGAGAGGTGGACTCCCTAGGCTTCCCTTCTGTGCTTACTAACTTCTCATTCTCCCTGACTCCCACTGCTCCTTGGCCTGCTCTGGATGTGGGCAGCTTCTCTCCAGGGGCCTGCTGTGCGGGACACCCCTCGGCCCCTCAGGTGTTCTCCTCTCCTTGCACGGCTCCGCCTTAGGACCTTTGTGCTGAGTCCGCTGCCTGCAACACTCCTCCCTTTGTCTCTTTCCAGTCTGCTGCAGTCTGTCCACCTCAGCCGGTGACCCTCACTGCTTTTAGGGACCTGTACTCTCCTGATTCCCGTAACGCTTAGTATATCATCTATAGTTTATTATTTTACCCCCCCCATGTGATTTGCTCCATGACAAGGATGTTTAGCTTTTTGTTCACTGATTTAGTTGGGGAACCCCTGTCACATTGTTGGTACTTGATGTATAGCCATTGAATTAAGCATAGAGAAGTGCAAGTCTTTACTATGAAGAAAATACAGGAAGAGAAAAAAATTGCTCTCCTTGTAGTATGGGGCTTGACATGCTAGGCAAGTGCTCTGCTATAGGTCTGAACCACCAACCCTTTCTAAAA